AACTTCTTTGATGTTAAATAGCGTCATTGTATCACTATCGAAAGAGGATCTCTTCACCCGTGAAAGAATGGTGTTAGTTTCACTTATGGGCATGATTTTTACCCACCGAAAATGATCGCATTCATCATTTTCCTAAAATAACAAAACAAAGAAACAAGTGAATATCTAGATATTTTGAAGTGAACAACTTTAAATTTTTATACCTGATAGCACTTGTCATTCCTGATACGATTCCATGACTAACGATTGAGATTCCTTGTAGTCCTCGATGTTTTTATTTTACTATACTCTTCACATTTACATACATCCGATTCAATTGAATATACAAACCTTCCGGATTGTTGAAACATGACTATCAATTTTCAAAGATCAAAATTATGTTAGTAGGAGAAAATAAAAGATGAATGAGAAAATGTAAAGTGAATCGAAACACATATTTATTGTTGAAGAAACCCATGATTTTATGAATCAAATAGATGTGACAATACACTTAAAATTTAAAAAATTCATTCCTTCAAGTGAAAAGCTAATAAATAAATAAAAAATGGAATATAGTTCGCCTATTTATGGGTGAATCCCTTAAAATACTTATTTTTTATTTTGCAGTGGAAGTAGACGAAGTTAATGGTGGTAGGGTCTTTTTGATATGTGGTGCCCAAAAAATAGCTATTTTGAGGTCGGAATCTCAAAGATAAACAAGCCTTTTAGATTCAAAATTTTCTAATAATGACTCAGGATAATCATGATAGAAAAACCAAACACAAGTTATTCAGAAAGTACTCAATAGGTTTTGACCATCATATGTCCAAATTGCTTTCATTGCATTGGTCCACTGGTAAAAGGTTCATTAGTCTAACAAGTATAACTTCAAATGTCTGTATAAAATTTGCATGCCAATATGACTACTTTCTAACTCCTTCCAATGCCAAATTTCATCATGTTTTGCATTCTCTAGCACCATTAAAAAAAAATTAAAATATTAATAAGGTCTTTCTTGAGAAAAATGTCACTAAAGAGAAACACTTTATGCAATTAATACTATATTTTTAATTTCTAGAATTACAATTTTTTTATTAGTTCTTTAGAGTCAAATTGAAAAAAAAAAAACATATTATGACAGAACGAAGTTGTGATTGAGACAATACCAACAATTTTCATCTTTTAAATGAAATGTAAAAGATGAAGATTAAAAATTGAATATTATTGCATTATCTAGCCTACTTACTGTATTGTTAACCATCACTTCTTCAAAATCTTCAACGTCCCAAAGTCGGCTATGTCCTCCCGTATCAAAGATGGCTTTTGCTGTTGTCTTTTTACCAACTCCACTTACTCCCCAGATCCCTACAATCCGAACATCATTGATTTCTATATGAAGTAAGGATTTTAGTTTCTATAATGAACATTTATTCCCTTAACATCTTGCAAAGAATATAAGGAATAAGAACTCTTACATAATTTAGAAGAAATGTGATTGACGATCTGCTGAATATTCTCTGATTCGATCCTACATAAATAAGAAGATTGATTGTGGAAAATGTGAGAAAGTCAAGTATTAGTAAGTATTTCATATGTTAATCAAATAGGGAACATTGTAGTTCAAGGTAATAGCAGCATTCAATAGTTGAAGTTGATAGAAAAATAATTTAATAAGTATATCTCAAAAAGTAGGACTATTTTTGGTCAAATAAGACCGTTTCCCAAACTTTATTTTCCTCATAAATTTTGGGGAATACACCTATATCGGGTGAAATATCCTTAAGGGTAGTGCCTTGACCACCTCTCAAGCTAAAAAGTTTCCATGATTTTCAATACTTTCCAACATAAGTATGAAAGTTGCAAAACTTGAATAGCTTAGAAGGATTTTTATGTATTCTCTGTAACTAAATTAACTCATTTTGGAGGTATAGATTCTTGTTCTATAGTAGAATATGTCTAGGTTTCACAGAAGCATCCAAGTTTAAATAGAATTTATTTCAATTCCTTTTTCACTAAAAGCAATTATGTGTGTTTAACTGATCACCCGTCACGGATATCATATCCTTTTAGATCTGCGGCAGCAGTTAAGGCATTCCTCCATCTTTGCACCTTTTGCATCCCCTCATCACCCTCATCCTTATACGTCGATTCGTGTTTGGCAAATGCTTCTGCAAAGCTCTCTCTTTGGTATCGTACATGTGATGGATCCACATCATAGAAGACCGGTATGACTATTTGTCCATTTTCCTCCTCCTTGCATTTCATGATATTCACTAATTCATTTAAGCACCACCTTGATGTAGCATAATTCTTTGAGAAAACGACTATGACAACTTGAGACTCTTCTATAGCTTTCACGAGTTCTTCAGAAATGGAATCGCCATTTTCTAGCCTTTTATTATCTAGAAAGGTGAATATTCCCATGTTGTCCAAACCTTTCTACCCATGATGACTACATGGTTTATGGAGACTTGAGTTATTATGAACTCGCGTCCCCATATCGGTGCTCAATACTACTCCCAAAATATACTCAGCTCATATGTTTTAAAAACAAAACTCGTTCTGTGATTTGAGATAAATACTTAAAAACTAGCTCAAAAACTCTCTTGGAAATCAGTTTTTCCTCTCTTGTTTAAATGTGAAAACATTTACTCTTTGGGAATACTTAGTTCCCATATACTGTTTTTGAAGAAACGAACTTCATTAGTTACTCTTACTTAACTCAAAACTCAAGTCTTAAAATAAGATTAAACATTTGTAAAAGACTTCTTGGAAAGACTCTATGAACTTTCTATACTTGGCTCTTAACTTTCTTTGAATTGGAATTTATGGATTCAAAGTTATGATTCAAGTTTATGAATGATTTCTAAGTGTTTAGAAGTCATTTAGAGTTGTTAGAATCAATAGGAAGTGTCAGTGCACTTTAGAAGGACTTAAACAGGCTAAACGACGAAAAACGGGTGGGGGCAGATGACCCGGGCGCGTTCCTGGCGCGCCAGCCCTTAAGTTACTGGGGCTCATTTCTGGCGCACCGCCCCAGTCTTCTTGACGCGTCGCGCCAACAAGGCGAATCTGACGAATTTTTCCTCTCGTTTTCATACTTTAATTCGATTATTTTTCTCAATATCTCTTTAGATTCAGGTACCCACTACATAAACACAAGAATCTAACTCAAGGAAACTCTAATAATCGACATTAGACTCTCAAGAACTTCTCAATCTCAACCTAAATTCAAACAGAAAGCAATTCAAGAACACCCATCAAGAACATTCAAACTTCCAATTTTTTTAGGACGAATTCATGCTGAAATAAACATGTTTAACACGTGGGTGAACGAACCCAACGTTATGAAAGTCTCACATACCTCGTAGGATCAAATCCTTGATGAAATCCGCAATCAAGGCGACTTGATTTTCCTCTTCTCTTCTCTCTTGAGTTCTTCTCTCTAAAGCCCTAGAGTGAATTTTCAATTGTGCGAACTGAACCAATTCAGTTTTGACCCTAATTAATTCACTAAAAACGAATTAAATCAAGTGGGTATGGAAAAGACCAAAATACCCCTTAAAAATCCGGATTAGACTTTCCTTATTTAAACATCCCAACTTCAAATGGACATATCTCGCTCATACGAACTTGGAATCGCGCAAACTCGGCGGCGTTGGAAAGATAATTCAAATATCTTTCCTACGGTATCTGGAAACACACCTAAATCATATTGAGCTAGGAGTTATGATCATTTGAATTTGACCAAAAACTCAAACTTAACCAATTTTTCAGATTTTTCATTCTTTCCGAAAATGACTCTTTCTAATTCTAGCTCTTTCTAGTCCTTTCAATTAGCGAGATGTTACAACTAATTACGTTATGATTGTTAATTTCCCATAACTTACTCCCGTAATTAAGGGAACAATTAATTCAAATTAATTAAAACACTTATCACATCCTTCAAAACATGTATCCCGTAATAGAGTCATGTATCTTACGGTTTACTACTACCCATGTATCTTATGAACGAAAAATGGTATAAGGAGTAATATTGAAAACTAACGGGATTTCTAGTAATTATGATCTAAAGTAGTGGAATTTATGTAGTTTACTAACTTCATTAAGATTATTTCTACAAGTATTAATTATACTTAATCCTAGTGCTAGATAGATAATTTAGAGTGCCTTATATTCACAAACTACTTCTATCATATTAGTTCGATATGAATGGAAATTATGCTTCTTCAATAGAACTTGATAGCGAGGGAGAATGTATTTGAGCTTGCTCTACCACTGGAAGTACCTTCGATTTCTTGAAACAGTTCCCCTTTGCTCCACTTGTTTTGTGACGTGAGACGGCTTACTAATAATTCAAAATGTTTCTTTCATCCACCCATTTTGACACAACTTTCGTGCCTCACATACATTCATCTGTAGTTGAATTTAATTAGGACATGCTTGCTATCCATCAGAAAATGTGAAAATGTAATTTGATTTCATAATGAAACGTGGTATTCTGATCTTAGAAAAGTATCGTATCACCTTTACTAATAAGACTAGTATATATGTAGATTTGAGTGTAGCTTCACTCAAGTAAAAAAAAAATTGTTTGAGAAAGTGGCAAAAGTAAATCTTGTGTTTGAAGTAATTTTAAAATAGCCCCTTACTATATTCTTAAACATTTTTGGTCCCAGAATTTTTCAAAAGTGAACAAATTTTAATCTTTATAAAATATTTAACAAACTATTATTTTTAAAAGCGTTTAATATACTCTTCAACTTTGAGATTTAGAACTGATATATCACTCATTATAAAAGTATCTCATATATATTTTTATCCTTGCGCAAATGGCCTAGATATATCTTTCAGACGAAAATGATATGTTTGGATCATTTGTAATGATAGGATATACGTAAGCCACGTTCATAACAAATGTTAAATCAAACTGTAAGTGACAAAATTGAGAAGTAATCTTAATTAAAAAAAGGCCACAATGGGCCCCAAATATGTATCATCACCTTCACTTGTTCTCAAAAAACAACCATTGCCCATATATCCAAATACAGCCCACAAGTTCCACATTAATCAGATAGCAGAAATGGCAGTTTCTTCACTATCCTTTACATTACCTAAGCTTCAAACCTTCACTCCAAAACCCACCATTGCAGCAACTTTTAAGGCTTCTTCTTCACATGAATCAACTCCTTTTATCAACCAGAAGCAAATTTTCCAAATGGGTGTTGGAATTTTGGCTGCTTCAATAGTGGCTTCAGCACCTTTAAATGCTGATGCTACCAGAATTGAATACTATGCCACTACTGCTGAACCCACTTGTGAGTTCAATTTTGTCCGCTCTGGACTTGGGTATTGTGACATTGCTGTTGGGTCTGGTGAAGAGGCTCCATATAATAAGCTCGTTAACGTAAGTTTGTATGTTTATTGAAGCTTAAACACTACCATTTTCGTGTGTTTGCCGTTGATGCATATTGTTGGAATTGCTGTACAATTTCTCCTAAAGTTCGTTTATTGTACAATTTAAAATTGACATTTTGCTTTCAAGAGTTCAGTGGTGCAGAGAATGTTGCGGTCTGTTGTTATTTCATGATGTGGGTTAGAATCAATTCCTAACACTTTTGGTCTCTGCCAAATATTTCGGAACTCCACCTGTTAGATTTGTGTTTTCTTGATAATCGTGGTGTTTGGGCCTATTTGTGTGCGCAACTCAACTAATTCCACGAGATAACTTTCACCTTTCACCCGCAACAGCTATTGGGTAACTTTATCAAGACTGCTATTAGGCAAAAAATAAAATAAGCGGGAACTCATATTAAGAAGTAGCACAATTTTTGCTGTTCTACTACTTTAAATTTATTTCTAGAGTGTGGTACAGTTTTCCAGGTGTAATTTCTATTATTTTTCTTAGTATTTTTTTAGTGTCTACTGTAATTTTTTGTGTTGCATATTTTAAGATTTGATGAGATTTTTTTGGTGTTTATAGTTAACTTTTTTGGCTCAATTTCATATTACTGAGGACATGACTCTAGATAGGAAGGAGTGGAGGTTGTGTACTAGGGTAGAAGGTTTGTAGGGGTGAAGTGTTGTCTTGCCATGCGTAGGTTTAGGCTTGTTAGTGCCTGTTGTGTACTAGTCGTACCCTTGTAGTTCTTGTCTTATGTAGTGTATTGTGTTTCGATTATGACACTATTTTGTTGTTATTATTGTTTCTTTCTTGTAGATTTTACACTGTTTTTCTTATTGATCACTATGCTTTCTTCATCGTTTTCTTCTTCTTTTACTTGAGTTTGATGCACTTGAGCTGAGTGTCCTTCGGAAACAGCCTCTCTACCTCCTCGGGGTAGTGGTAAGATTTGCATACACTCTACCCTCCCCAGACCTCAGTTAGTGGGATTTCATTGGCTATGTTGTTGTTCCATCAAATCTAACTGACAAAGTTCGGTAAATTTTTGCAGAGAGAAACTGTTAAACTTTTGACAAACTTAAAGGACCGAAATTGTTAGGTGCATACTTAAGGAGCTATTTTAACCTATCCTTAAACACAAGGTGTTATTTTGTGATGCCACCTATGTATTGAAAAAACTAGATTCTTCAGCAACTATGTAAGAAGTAAATGCGGAATGAAGTAAATCAACACAAGAATTTTTTTCATGAAAAAACTCCTCTCCCAGGAGTAAAAGAGTAAGACCTACCTCATAGAATTTCCCTCTCAAATTACCACCAAATTTGAGTTACAATTTTAGGTTACAACTAATCAAGGAGCTAACTACTGTACACCTATCCCTTTCTACAATTCTCCCTAACTGTAGCTCACTTCTTCAACAACATCATGACACTTTATATAGGAATAGATGACTGCTTCTTGTTTTTCCAACAAGGATTAGTTCATGAATCCAAGATTCTAATCCAAGTTTGATTAGGTTCTTCCTTCATGCATCAACGACTGTTTTGCTCCTATTTCCAAAGCTTTTCCCATGTATCCAAATATGATAATGCTGCCATAATCTTTTCTTGTTCCTTGCTTGATTGGATTATCCGCAATCCTAATTCCTTAAGGAATCCTTCTACACACTTGGAATCTGCTTTACCATCGATCAACTGTCTTCTTCAAGTCTACTGTGAAGGACCTGATTCCTTCCCTCCTAGCAGTATACTCTTGATATCATCTGTTGTAGTTGACATGTTAAGGAACTGGTTCTTCAATAGTTCTTTGTCATAATCACTACCAGTCCATTGTTGAGTCATGTATGATATATGATTCTTGCATGTGTTTGTTATGTTTTGCTAATCATTTGTTAATCATCAAAATTTCATATTGTTAGCATAGCTCGTAGCTCTAGCTCACATAACTCTCCCTAGCTAATGTAGCTCAACTTAAGGGTTCATTTCTGTCATTTTCTCGTATCTTGATTATCCTAACAAGTTTCTTCTATGAGGTTCTAAGGTTGTAGTATTATTGTTGGAATAACAAAAGAAAACAATTATATGTACAAATATATTTCTTTTCTCTGGCATGATACCGCGAAAATGAAATTCAAAACTATGTGGTTGATATGTCATTTTGAAAGTCAAAAAGAAAAAAAAAAGACTTGATCAAAGAAAAATAAAAATAAAAGAGTTAAGTTCCACGCTTTGACGATGTTAAAAATATTTAAACAATCAGGTTACCTATAAGGTAATACATATAAATTTTTGTGAGAAGATTAACCAGTAACTTGGTAAAATCGATAATTGACCTGTGATCACAGGTTAAATTAGACTGATGGTGTAAAAATTCTATACACGGGCGGATAAAAGGAAAAAGAGTTGATTTTTGTCTTCTATTGATCATCGAACAGAGGAGAATAATGAGAAAGATAAATTGAAGTTATTAGAGGATTGCATCTTTAGTATTTTGTGCTTAAAGACGAGATTGAGCGAAGAAAGAAGAAATGGTCATTGTTTGCCTTTTATTTTCCCCTTGAGGACATACCACTGCCTCTTTAGTCACACAGGAAAAGAAAATTTTGTTTTGTGTATCTAATAACTCCTCTAATTTTTCTTGAACTTGAGAATGGTTTGTTAAGTATCCTATTCATGCAGATTCACTATACTGCAAGGTTTGCGGATGGTATAGTTTTTGACAGCAGCTATAAACGTGGTCGAGCCCTTACCATGCGCCTCGGCATGGGCAAGGTATGTTACCATTAGGGTCCGATGTAAGTTATTGTAACTGGTGGTATATAATGTGATCTGTATTACCTTCTGCATTGCTTGTCTGTCCCAGATTATAAAATTAGGACCAGTTATCTATCAGATAGACAGTTGAAAAGGTTTTCATATATCTATAGTTCAATACACTATGTGCATCAAAACATCATAAACAATGTATGAAGCTGGATGAATATCTATGTACTGACAAAACTAAATATGCTAGCAGTTTGAAGAGAACAATGTAAAAGACACTGTCATTGGATTTAGCAACTGTTAGGGCATTATCATCCACGTAGTATCATCAATTTTCATTTCCACTGTTTTCTTGACTTCCTTAAATTCTTGAAGTTGAAAGTAGTTATACTTTTGATACAATATCTTACTTTACAAAAGCGAGTCTCTGTCAAGCACTACCATCGTCCAACTTCACTAGACTTTTCGGCTCTATTAGGCTAGTCTTACCCTCTATTATCATCTTCCCTAATCCTCTGCGCTCTCAATCCATAATTTTTGCTACCAAGATCTTTTATCCATGCTTATCAAAAAAATAGAAAAAAAGATTGTTTATCCTCACAAAAGAGAAGGAAAAGGAATGAAGAATAAGAGAAGCTCGCAGAAAGGATACAACCATGTTTTGGGATATGAAATGGAGTAGAATGAAATAAGTTTATTTTCCATGTAGCGTCAACAACCTCATTTGATTATTGACTAAAGGAAGACAGAAATAATGTGCTGATAACCGATTCTTTCAGTAAGCCATCACTTCTTTCTGTTATGGAATCTCTTTATATATATATATATATACTGTACACCTCAAATTGCAATTAAGATGGCATCCAAGAGCTTTATCTGAGGCTCATATTGAAGGTATACATGAAAAAGAAACATAAACGAGAAACTAAATGAAGAATATAGTTCAATTTTTTGCAATATCTTATCTACAATTTGTGAACTCCAGAGCATGTTGTTGACAGGTGATCAAGGGATTAGATCAGGGAATCTTAGGAGGTGAAGGGGTACCACCAATGCTAGTTGGTAAGATTTTACAGCTAATTAGAGCCTCCTGTGGATCTTTTGCTTGTTTCTTTTTTATATTCCCAGTATAGTTCACTTTAGAAGTTTTAATACATAGGTGGCAAACGTAAGCTTCAGATTCCTCCACATTTGGCATATGGACCAGAACCAGCAGGCTGCTTTTCAGGTGTGCTTGTGATACGTTTTAAATGCATTATATTGTTTGGTTCCTTGAGACAAATATCATCTCGCACGCCAGATGATAAGGCCTATTCTTTAATTTCTTTCTCTCGAAACAAGCTAGCAGAAATGAGTTGTAATTTTTTTTCATTTGGTTAACTGGTGACATCAGAATGTATCAAAACTATTTAGAGAAGAAAACTTGCATTTTTGTTGGAATATAAAAAACACTTAATTGCAAGTAGCATCTTAAACAACTTTGCTTACAATGTTCTGACGGATGGATGTGAATAGGTAATGCAATTTCTCTTCATAATCTTAATCAATGTATATTCCTCATTTACATGGTCTAGGCTACCATTGGCCTTGGGAGGTTGTGAAGGACTCATCTACCCAGTTTTGTTGTGTTACTCATCTAACCTTTTTCATCTCTGTAAATAAAAAGAAGATATTCAGTTTGTCGCGATAGCAGTTGTTTACACATTAATAAAGATAATGTTTTTTTATCTGTGTAGGAGACTGCAACATTCCTGGAAATGCAACACTTGTATATGACATCAAATTCGTTGAATTATACTCGGGAAACAGGAAAATGTGATATGATGGGAAATCTGAAGCTCAAGCACAACTAGTGAGTTCCTAAGACACCTTGTGATTAAGGTTTTCTTCCTAACTTGTTTTGTTATATCATGGTGTCACACTTGCTTTTGTACTCCCTCCTTCCTTTCCAATCTGGTTGTCCCTATAATGTGTTACTATATGAGATTCAGGATGATAGTTAAAAACTTAAAATGTATATATAATGGAGTGTCAAAGAAATATCATACCTAGTTAAAAGTTGTAAAAGAATTTGAGCATGTGGTTATTTAGTTTGTATCTGCATAAAAAAAAGACCATCACCCTTTGGGGTGGCCCAGTGGTTTGGGCTTGGGACTTCCATGTTGAAAGTCTCAAGTTCGAAACCCCTTGCCAACAAAAGCAATGGGTTTGCCTTCTAGGTCGAGCTCATCGCACCGGGCTTGCCTAGTGCGGGTTACCTCTCTTGTGTGGTTTGCGAGCTATTGCGTAGGAGCGGGGGTTTTACCATGTGCGCACCCAAAAGGTAGCGGCTCGGGTTTCCCTTGTCATAAAAAAAAAAACTAACAAAAATAAAGGTATAAATTTATATATGAACTATGCCTAATTCCCAAACTAGTTGGGTTAACTGTATGAGTCCTCGAATTAGTTTGACTATATTTACACTAACCTCCATCATTCTGTACATCTCCTTTATCTAGGCTTGTGACCTGTTTTACTTTGCACATATGCGGGATTTGTATGTTTACATTTTTAGTTAGAATTATCATATTAGGGATTTCCATTCCTAAAGAAGGTCTTAGCTTGGGGATAAGGGAAAAAAAAGTAGGTCTTAAAAAATAAAGAAGGGGTTGGGGAGAAGTAGCTGATTAACTGGGAGTCTGGGACAGAGAAAGTAGCACTCAACGTTTTTTTCGGGGGAACTTCATGAGACATAAAAAAAAATTGCATCTACTAACATGTCATTGCTAAATGATTCCTGTGCATGATTTTTCCAGTGGCTTATCATACTAATGTTTATAATTGATGAATCAAGCAAAACTTAATTGCACATACGGAAAAGAGAAGATTAAAAGGAAGAATGAGTTACTGTTGCTGATTACTAGCAGACTGGTAGCTCTCTTAATTACTGTACCTAGAGAGAGTTTCCAACAAAACTAGATATTCAACATAGTTATTCACCAGGAGAGTAATGCCTGCAACTTTGGGAACAAAGCTCCTACATCATTGTACAAAAGGAGTGTGTTCATTTTCTAAGCAGGAAATGCCATACAACCAGATATCAGAAAAGTCAAAGAAAAACTGATGAGTGATTTCCAGGTTTACCCAGTCCCTTGTTTCATTCTAATAAATGAACTCAGGATGACTCGATATAAATATTCTATCTTCTGAACTCTAGCTGGCTTTGGTGATGTTTGCTCAAGAAAGACACTAAAGTAAAATCCCGCTCCCGCTGGGTCTGTGTCACTTCTTAAAGAAATAGAATAAAGTAAAATTTTCTAGATGAGTCGTCTGTAATAAGCTCAATATAAAAGTAGAACAACCTGTTATTGTTCCTGTTTACCACATCCTTTTTTCATCAGTAATGGGTAGATTTTTTGAATAAACATAGTACCAAGCTAGTACTGAGCTAAGTATAAAACATTTCCTAAGGAATGCCCCGAAAGCTGAAAGCATTCCAAGAAGTTCAGCTTACAGTAATATCAGTAGCAAAATCAGCAGTATACGATATGTTTTTAACTCTGGATAAATCTTTTTTTCCACAGTGAAGAATTCTTCTCCTTCCCCTCGAAGCATCTGCAGTGTTTCTCAATCCAATTACTTGTTAAGAGAATGGACATTGGGCCAAACTCAACCTCAAAAGCTAGCTCATGAGGTGAGGATTCAATTGTCTATCCCCAAACATTGTTGGGACTACTTACAAACCCCGCATGCCCAGGCTTACTGATTGGAGCATGGACAACATAAAATGGAGGCCCAACATCAATAATAAAATTTGGATTGTCTAGCTCCGATACATATTAAGAAAATGGACTTTGGCCTAAATCAACCCTAAAAGCTAGCTCATGAGGTGAGGATTCAATTGTCTATCCCCAAACATTGTTGGGACTACTTACAAACCCCGCATGCCCAGGCTTACTGATTGGAGCATGGACAACATAAAATGGAGGCCCAACATCAATAAATTAAAATTTGGGATTGTCTAGCTCCGATACATATTAAGAAAATGGACTTTGGCCTAAATCAACCCTAAAAGCTAGCTCATGAAGTGACTATTGTCCAATTGCCCACCCCACAAACAATGTGGGACTACTACGAATACTCCACATCATGCAAAACGGAATGGTCTTCCAGTCTTCTTTGTCTCTTTCCTCATTTTCTGGCTTTGCCAACTGTATAGGATTTGCTTTACATTTGTTGGCATAACCCATTGGACTCCAGAAAGGTTGAGAAACATGCACCAGAGTTAGTATCCAAAGATCATGCCACCACCTATGGAAACGTCAATAAGGAGATATTGGTTGGACGTATAATCTGCCTTGACTCTATTGCACTCTGGTCTAGCTAGCACCTCTAGTTGAAATGCTGACCCATCCACAATATCCATTGCAGTCAATGATAATAAAAACATTGTTGTTAGTGAACATCAGATGTCACTTTCAAGTATTCACCAGTTGTTTAGTTTTATGTTGAACTTCTTCGAGTATTGGACTCTGCTATGCTGAAATGTTTTGTATGTTGTGGCATCTGTAAAGGAATCATGGTGACTAGTTTGCCTACAATGATAATAGCGATAAAAATGTGGAGTGATTTTAGCTGGCATTCTGAGGTAAAGTACTGCCAAATTTTCTGTGACATTCCAATTACTCCATTTCAGATATGAATCCATGCAATGATTTTTATATTGGTTCTGGTAATGTTTCAAGAATTCTCCCTCGCTAATATGGTCAATAGAATTATGAAGTGTTTGTCAAAAGCTGTTCCACAGTGTCTTTTTCCCCATTATTCATGTAGGGCTTTGTGCTGTGGTGCTAAAAGTTCCTTTCTGGATAGAGATATTTGATTTTCTAACTTTTGGCACCATAATTGGCTAGATCAAGGCAGCATGTGAGGAAAATATATACCGGTAAAGCAACCGTATCCATATCCTACCTACTGTCCGGAACATTAATTTTCATTTGAATGGCATAGCAAGTACTTATCCTTCTGTGTGTTTCCTCTCATTTGGCATGATATATATGTTTTGAGCTACTTGAAATCTGTGGGATTATAGGGTAAGAAGTTTCAATATCCTATAGGTTGCATAACTAATACTTGAAGATCTTATGCAGAAAATATTGACTTCTCATTTCTTCAATGATGTTGGGGTTTGTTTAATATACTGACATATTGTTGATCTCTTGACATAGGATCCACCCAGAATTAGTTTGAATGAAGATATAGAGCAAAAGGTGACAGAATACTTTTCTAGAGGGAATAAAAGTAAGTCAAGAAACAGATGGGTTTTTTTTTTCCATACAAGATGCAACTTACCTAATGGTGAGGAATGCTTGCAGGTGCCAACTTTCTGGGATCATTTTTGAGCTGGTAATCTAAGTTCCTAACATTGTGTATAATTGACTGTTGTACTTAAAGTATATGCAAACTAAAGTTATATGTTCAAAATACTTGAAAATCTTGTATAATTATTTTATGTATATTTTGTGACGGATACTTGAAAATCGTGTATAATTATATCATGTATATTTTGTGACGAATACCGTTGAAATTAAATGTAAGTTCATCGTTCACCTATATAACATGAAGTCGAAAAGAGTCGGGACATGTCACGATCCAAGCCTACACTCGAGAACCATTAGTGGTCCCCAAGTGAACCCTCATCCTGGTTGACTACAAGTGGAAGACCAACTCAAGCATACATAAGCATCAAATTGAAAGAAATGTTTAAAAACAGTTTACTGAATCTCAAAACTTCGCTGAATATACTAAGTATGAAACATAAGTTTTAAATAAAATATCTGAAACTGAAAGACTCAAAAAAAATTGTCTATCTATGAAGCCTCTACTATACAAAGATGAGTGTTGGGTTAAGACCCACGACTCCTCCAAAGAACTACTAACAACTCATAAAACTGGAGTCCTCCGGAAGATATGAGGCTCACCATAGCTAACTCGAACTGCAAGTGGTATCAATGAAGCGCATGTGGATGACCCTAGCTACCTGTATCTGCATCATGAAACGATGCAGACCAAATAGCATCAGTACATGGAATGTACGAGCATGTAAAGGGAATTCAAAAGCATAAACATAAGCTTGAACTGATGGAAAAGAAACATACTTACCTCTTCTCAACTCAAAGAAACATAGTTCAACTCGACTCAGAGAAAAATAGGGCTCAACTCAATAATAAGAGACTCAACTTTGTGAAACATGGTTCAACTTAACTCAGAGAAATAGGGTACAACTCAACAATAAGATACTCAACTCTATTCAATATAAAGCAGTAGTAAAGATGCATTATAAAGAAAAGTTTTTAAAACAGTAGATAGCAACTCAATGTATTGAAAAATACAATAATAACTCAGTTTGTATATAAAAATACAAAATAACTCTGGGGGAGATTCTCTAACTGACAACCATCACTATGAGTTATGTGATGATACAACGTCTAGCCCACGCTGCCAGAACTGTCCTATACTTTGTCAGGGTATAGAACCTACTCACTAAGTGGATCCACTAGTCTATGCTAAAAACAATAAGGAATCATCTAAAAAGTATGGTCCTTTCTACCCACGTTGGCTACATGGTTTATGTGGGCTGTGAGTTGTTAGAACTCTCTCCCATATCGGTGCTCAATACTATTCCCAAGATATAACTTTTAGCTCATATGTTTTAAAGAAAACATTTCCTCTTCCTCATCTTTGAGATTATTGCTCAAAATATTTCTCTTAAAAGAGATAGTACTAAAATATGTTCATGAACTCTTTTGGAAATCGGTGTTTCATCTCATCGTAAATGTAAAAACATTTACTCTTGGAATACTTATTTCCCATATATCATTTTTTAAAAGTGAAAATCAACTCTACTCTTCCTCAAACTCAAATGCTCAAGTCTTAAAACAAATTTTAAATAATTGTAAAAGACTTCTCAAGATAGGGTTCATGCCGAATTATGGATGTGAACGACTCAATTCAAGGTTTTCAATAACCATACATAGAATTAACTGAATACTCGGAACTCAACAACTTTAGAACTCAAGGACTCAATGATACTACTCATCTTCAAGAATGCTCGACTCGGAGTGTTCATGCGGAATTATGGGCATGAACCACTCAACTCAAGGACCTTCATGGTAACATGTAGTAGTCCCATGATTAGGAATATGATCTCAAAAGGATTAGGAACTCAATACTCAAGACTTAGAACTGGAAGATACTACTCCTCTCAAAGATATTCAAATTATAGAGTTCATGCGGAATTTATGGGCATGACCTACTCGACTCAAGGATCTCATTGAAAATGTAGACTTATGAATACATTCTCTTCATTCTCATACTCACTTACTCGAGTCTTGAAACAAGTTATTTGTAATTGTAGAAGACTCCTCAAAAAGACTCAAAGGGGCTTTCTCAAAAGACTCGAAAGAACTCTTAAGACTTGACTCTTAACTCTACTTTGAATTTGAATTATGAATTCAAGGTTGTGATTCATGTTATGAATGGTTTCTCGATGTTTAGAAGTAGTTTAGAGTAGTTAGAATCAATAGGGAGTAAAGGTACACTTTAAAAGGACTTAGACGGAGCAAACGACGGAAAAAGGATGGGGGCAGGCTACCCTGGCGCGGGGCGCCAGCCCCTAAACTTCAGAGACATCATCCTGGCGCACTGCTGGGGCGCGCCGCCCCAGCCCCTCCCCAGAATCTTCCGACGAATTTTCTTATTCAATTTTTGGCTCTAATTCGCTTAGAATCGAATGGTTTCTTCCCAACTTACTTAGATTCAAATACCCAACATAAGTACACAAAAATCTACTTAAAAACAATCCTCAAACCCCTAACATTCATCTCAAGAACTCATCAAACTCATCCTAATTCAAGAACGAAAGCAATACCTCAAGAACACTTATCAAGAACTTAAATTTCTCAATATTTATGGATAGATTCGCAAAAGGAACTCATGATTGGCGTGTGGGTGAACGAATCCAACACTATGAAAACTTACATACCTCTTAGGGATCAAACCCTTGGCGAAACAACCCTCGATCCGCAAGAAATTTCGATGAACGCCTTGAACCTTCCCTCTTTTTTCTCTTCTTGAACTCTCTTCTAAAATCCTAAGCGTAGATTAGGATTATAAAGCTGAACCAAATCAGTTTAGACCTATAAAACCTTGCTAAAAATGAATTAATCTGATTGGGTAAGGAAAAGACTAAAATACCCCTTATATTTTCGGGTAACTTTTCTTAACTGGATAACTTGATTTCAAACGAGCATATCTCCCTCATACGAGCTCAAAATTTAGCAAACTCGGTGACGTTGGAAAGAGGACTCAAAGATCTTTCATTTGATATCTTATGGGTCTCCTAACTCATCCCATGCTAAAAGTTATGGTCGTTTGAAGTTGATCCAAAACTTAGAAGAACTTAGGAATGACTTGAATGAACTCTCTTTAGTTCTTTTTGGAACTCAAGGTGCAATATCTAGTGACATTAACACTTAAAAAATGTTAAATTCCTCGGTAAAATCCTACTCACAACGAAGGATGGTTCGAGTCTTAGCTCAAAAAAATTCCGGAGTATTACAGGACAATTCCATTTGTCGTCTTTTCCTTTCTTTTTCAATAATAATGGTGTTTGGACCAGTTTTGCCTCATTTCGACTTTTTAATGGCTAGTTTGACAAGATTAAAGTATTGATAGATTTCACTGTCATAAGACATATTGATAGTTTTCTATTCTAAATAGAAAGAAAGTTAAATTTGTCTAAATTTTAATAGTCTTATATTCTAAGGAAGCATAGGATAAATGCGGGAAAGAAAAAGTCTCTTATCCATTCTAATTAAACGATGAGGGGGGAGCAACTCCAACTAGAAAAACTCACATTGGGCTTAGGGATAATCAAGCTTATTTTGGTGAAGTTTCAAATTAGAAGAACTCAAGAAATTTTGATTGAATCATGATACAAAATTATAAAGAAGAAAAAAGAGTTAGCAAGTGTGTAGAGATAAGTGAATGTGTGAGTGATACATGAGATACAAAAGCTATAAAGTTGTGAATCATTGTGGATATAATTACATGATTGTGTGACTACTTGTTAATTGCAGAGTTTTGTGATAACTTCTATATATGTTTTTGGTGACTTATATGTGTAGTGATGGCTTGACATTGATATGTCGGAATGAGACTGTTTATCATGTTGATGTTGACTACTCGTATTGTTGAGTTATTGATTACGTATTGAGGTACATGTCTACCTATTTTGTTGGCTTTATATATACACAGTTGTTAGTTGTTACTAATTTGAGTTGGCTTATGATGCCTACCAGTACACGGTGTTTGTATTGATGTTACTTCTTTACTTTTCTTTGATGTAGACTATGATCCACAGTCTTCTATGCGACCTCGTGTCCAGCGCAGCTGGTTGATTGATCTAAGGCGAGTTATTCCTAGCTAGGCTATCACATATCTTCTTGATGATCGTTCAGACATTGTTTTACTTGTTTAGTTTTTGACTACTTTTAGACATTGTTAGTTATGATACAATAACTTTCGAATTTTGAGAAATGTAACAGTTAGATTCTGCACTTCATTTATAACTTTAGAACTCTTATTTCATATCTTAATGCTTATAAATATGTTAGATGAATTGATTATGTCATTGTTTAGTTGGTAAGATATGGTTTGTTTCTTTGAGTGTTAGTGTGAGTGTTAATCATGACGGTTTGAATTGTGATAAAATCACTTTATATAATGAGAAAATGAAAACTCTACACGCAAATAAAATTTTATCTAACTAAGTAAATTTAAAATAATTTTAAAATGAACAAACGAACTAAAATAAAACTAAAATCTGTATTAACAATATCTTGTGATTAGATAAAACTACAAGTATTTTACGTGTTTAAAGCGCAACAAAATAATTACTAAATAGTTAATATATCTTGTTGTCAAAAAGTTATTTGTGTTTAGTTTTCTATTTATTAAAAGTATGAACAATACATATTTCAACTTTCAAGAATGGTTACCCTCTTTTTGAATCAAAGGTGAAAATAATTTTTTTAACAAAAATATGTATCTTATCTTCTTCTACAAATTTCAAAATGAATACATATTTTATTTTTAAATATTTATATTGTACTAATAAGTTTTACTAAGATATACCTTATAAGAAGGGTAAGT